CAGGATCGTCCATTACTTTTTCGATTTTATCGATTTTTTGAAAATTTGAGCTAGGGGGCTGGAGTTTGGCACAGGAGTGTAATCGAGCATGCTGATCACCCCCATTGGGGATGATCAGCATGCTCGATTACCCCCCTGTGCCAACTCCCAGCCCCGTAGCTCAAACTTTGCAAAAAAATCGATAAAATCGATAAAAGTAATCGATAATCCTGAAAACCGATATTGTATTCGGAATCCCCATGCTCGATTACCCCCCTGTGCCAACTCCCAGCCCCGTAGCTCAAACTTTGCAAAAAAATCGATAAAATCGATAAAAGTAATCGATAATCCTGAAAACCAATATTGTATTCGGAATCCCCATGCTCGATTACCCCCCTGTGCCAACTCCCAGCCCCGTAGGTGAACTCAGCAAAAAAATCGATAAAAATCGATAAAATCGATATCGATCGATGACGAAAAGTAGCCTATGACACCCGCCGGGGCCCGTAGTGTATGTGTGCCAAGTTTGGTCCGGATCGGTTCAGAAATGGAATTTTCTATTCGGAACATACGTACACACATACATACAGACAGACAGACATACAGACAAACAGACATTCAGCTTTATATATAAGATAGAAAAGCGTGTACTCATTATTGGGACGTCCTTATGTACAAGGCCGTTCCATAAGCTCATAGCGTTTTCATAGACCAACGAAATGACAGAATTTTGTAAAATTCAGTCGAGGTGTTTTTTCAGCTGTTGCACACAACATCCTACGCAAAAACACTTTTTTGCTAGAAAAAGTGAGCAGTGCGTCGAAAATGCTTCTTTTTGTTTTTTGAAACTTCCACATTTGGAAGCTAAGAACAGGGCTCGGCACGAGATGGCTTTCCGAACATTCAAAAAACGAAGTACCTCTTGACTTTTGCAAATTTTACGAAGTCCTCTTTGGTTCTAAACCCTAAACATAAAGAAACCCTCAAAAAAAGAAACGAAAACTAAAAAACTTTGAGATTTTTTTCGGCTACAAAAGCTGGCTTTCAGCTATCCCTTTTGCTTTTTTTTTTCAAACGATATCCAGCTTGCTTGTAAGCCACCTATGCCGAGCCCTAGCTAAGAAATCGAAGTGAGTCAGCTTTCCATCGAAACCAATACGTTCATTGTAAAGGTCATGATTAGCTCTTTTCAACGATAAGCGCATCTTGCCGCAAATCAACCGCTTTTTAAAGAAATTAAAACGAGAATGAAAACGCTACGAACTTATGGAAAGCTAATAAAGCTGACCAAGGTAAAAATGATGACTTAGAAATTTCGCGATATATCTGAGCATCTGTAAAAAGAATTATCTAGAAACTTATGTAACTAATAAAAAAAATTTCGCATCGGTTACAACTCAGTTTGCTGGTCTACCTTTATTCTGTGGGATTTGAGGGTGGGTCCAAGAACAGCGCAAACTTTCAGGCCAATTAATATTTGGTTGTCAGCAGGAGTGCATTTTCTTTTGTAGACAAAATATTCGCGGATAATGTGTGGATGACCATAAACAGTTTGAAACGTGGGAAAGAGCAATGAAGAATTAGACATTCGCTTCTTGATTTTACGATTCCATGTTGTATGAGAGAGAACAAAGAAGTGGCTCGGAAGGAAAAAAATTAATTAAATATTCTGTCCAGTGCGAAGAATGCATAATTTGCAGTCACTATAGAATAAGTCGTGAGATTAACAAAATTTCCGAGAAAAACACATAAAACTTAGTTGGAGATAGAAATCTTCTTGTTAGTAATAAGAATATTCTTTTACAGATAATAGAGCTCAAAACATGAGCGGCAGCTTGGAAATATGCATTGATATGGGAATAGAACATGACATCAGGGTTCGATTGAACCATTCCAGATGTCATGGCGGGACAGAGCACAAGTGCAAAAGCGTCGAAAGGACGAAACACTCACACAAAGGGCTGCGAGCACTGTCGGACATGAAGCCTTTGAAAGTGTTTATATTGATTTATTGATTGGAATCAGAGTGATCATTGGGAAGTCAATGTATCAAAACATGTCTTGTTGTAGAAATTCAAAAAATCTTATTAGAAATACTTGAAAATGAAAATGTCTTTAATCTATTGATTTGGCAAACTGCCTATTTTTTGATAATTGCTTCAACTAAAAAAGTTTTACAAAAAAAATTTCGGCGTATTTTTTCAGCTTTTCGTACCAAATTTAACACGATGCACGTTCTCTGTTATTTTCAAAGCCGTACTTGGAATTGTAAAGGCATTAGATTGCTGCCATAAGAGACAGTATTAAACATAAAATATAGTCTAAAGAATATAGAAGAATAAAGTACAAGAAGAGCAGGATTCATCCGCCTCTAGCGCATCAAATTTCTAACGTACATGTCATTTCTAGTATTCTTATAATATTCTAATGAATCTCTAAAACTTAACGAATGAAAATAAAAACTCAAAGATCATAATTATTTACACCCAAATGCCACAATTTTACCTATACAAGGGAAAATAGATTACAAAAATAAAGCTAAAGCGAAAGTTAGACCACAAACAAATGTTCAGAAGGTGGAGGGTTACAGTTCAAAAACGACTCATAATGTAAACTAGATATAAGAGACAGTACCAACCATAAGTGATATTTAGGATTATTATAGATCACCTAAAACATGGAAATGGATTATGTTACAACTTATCAGAAGAGGAAGCTAGAAAAAAAATATATAAACTGATTGTTTTGCGAAATGTGCGACTAAGGCCAAGCTATGATGATAGTAGTAAATTTGGAAGTTGAAAGCCTGAAGACGTTGCACAATAAATAAACCAAAAAGAAAAATTGTTATTAAGTGAAAAAATGGAGTTAACATTGGAAAAACATTTGTCCAGTCATCAGAAATAGCGTTATCTTTGCGTGCCCATTTCGCCATACTGCGCTAATTTCGTCGATAAATTCTGAGGTATCAGCAATTTTGAAGCAAACAGGGTGCATTTTCGCACAATAAGAGCGCCTCCATTTATATATTGTGGCAGCATTTTTTAGAATCCGTGCTGTTTATAATGTGCAATTTTTGAGGAAACCATACGATCAGTCTTCTGTTAAAAGCTTCAACAAAGCAAACAAATTCGAGGGAAAAAGCGCTCGTAAAAACTACATCCAGCGCTTCGACCAGAAAAGAAATTTATGTTAGAGAATTGTAAATCTGAATCAAGCCATTCTAGGCATCTAATTGCACACGGAGGGAGTTACAGCGCGAAAAATATGGCCTAGTGAAAAAATATAGCCTCAAATCTAGTGACTTATATGGCCAAAAGCATACTACTATATAAAACTTTGATAATGTGCAGGCTCCTAAAAATGGACTATGACTACCAACGGACCACTACATATCACTCATTTGCTGCCTCATCTGTAATTCACACGCCACCATCATCATAATCTGCACGCAAGAGATTTAGCGTTATGAAACCAAAGCCAAATTTAGTTTCTGTATTCTGTGCCTAATGGTCTGTTCCTAGAAAAATGAATGAATAAGGACGAATGAAGAAGAATACACCAGCAGCTCTGAAAATGTATCCGATGCGGAATGTCGTGCAGCCTTCATTCATAAAACCTCATATTCATAAAAAGTGGTGGATACAGACATATCCAAATCTTAGCAAGGTAAAGTATTATAGGAAAAGTTGGTCCAAGATAATGTTAGCATAAGCAGCAGGAATGCTTCGGCGGTTCCCATCACTCAAAGGAATGAAGTACCCATTTTGGACTAATCAAAAACTCGAAAATAGATACAAAATAGAATTTGCTAGCTTCTGGAAAGGAAGGCATGTTCCATAATTACTGAATATGTGTTACTCATATGGATCAAAGTCCGCAAAATTCAAATAAACCAAGCAGATATAACTTACAAAATAACCATGTTTAGTCGAAGTGGCCCTTTTAGATGGGATGTATTCCAGAGGGTTTATATAAGCGTTTGTAGGAGCAAAAAAGTGGATTTGTATTCAATGTGAAATGAGTTGCCAAAATCTTACTAGCTCTCAAATAAACAACCGAGTGTGACAAATTTTTTATCTAACACTTTTTACTGAATAAGTTGCTCTAATAATCATCAAAGCTTTTGTAAAGCCAGAAAAAATATTATGACAATTGTCGTCTTATTAGCAGATTTATTTTTTTGCTCTAAAAAAGCTTATAATCCCACATCCATGATTCTTCCGCAGATAAAGAGGGCGGATTCAAAATTAGCGTTTTATGCTCTCCAATATGTGGTACATCCCATCTAAAAAAGCCACTTTGACCAAACATAGTTACCTTGTTAGATCATTGCGTTGAACAACAAAAAATGCAGGTCTTTATCTTTTCTTTTTATCTTTTCATAGCGGAAATGAATGTGCTGCTTTCCTAAAGTTTTTGAAAGAAAAAAAACTCTAAAGGGACAGCTGAGCACATTCAGTACAGTGCTGCAGCCCAATATGCGGCTGCAACAACTTGCCGAAGAGGAAATCAAAGAAATTACCGTACCTTCACATCAGTTTAAAAAACTTTTTTTTCCTGGCGGGGTATAATATATACTAGATAGAAAAGCAAGCGTTCGACACAATGGGCAAAAACTTTCCCCACAGATTTTCCCAGACGCCCTCATAAATCGTTTCACTGAGGTTATCGACTTTCTGAAGAAAGTAAAAATCTATTTTGTTTTCCTGAAAAACTGCAGAATCAGCGCCATTACAAAGTATCTTTCTCCTTTTCGGTAGAGCTCCAAATGGGGAAAAAGTAGATTTAGCCCATCGTAAGAACGATCGAAGAAATGTGTTTTTATACAAGATAATTTTCAGAATTTTGAGGTTGATACCAATTTTCCTTAGTCTGTTTTTGATTCATAGCAACTTTTGTTCGCAGCAAAATTATGGGAAAATCTGCAGCTTTTTAAGGAAATAAAAAGAATGTGATTGGCAATCTTTTGATCATAACATAAAAAGCAACAGACGAGGAGCATGGAGTTTGTCACTCACAGCTCTGACAAGCGAATGCGAATCCAAGTGATGATGACATGCAGTTTCTTATCTCCACATTCATCTTTCACTCGAACGGATTGCTCACTTGACGGCGTTGTTCTGGAAAATCCAATCATGGCCATCTGATATGTTTGTGCTCGCTGAACAGCTGTTTTTGAATAAACTTCCCTAATAAACTTTGAAGTCCCTTAACCTGGAAATCAAAACATCAACAGAAAAAGTACTTGAGGTGAAAACTCTAGCTAAAAGTCAGTACAACCGTGACTCTTACAAGTAACGCCCCATCTGCAATGGCTGCAGCAATCTGTGAGAAAATTTCATGAACTACCCGAAATTTCGCAAGCTTAACACCCTGAAAGGATATAAAGGGTTGACAATCACAATCCGAAAAGGCCAAGCCTGATCTAAATTTTTATCGTTTAGGAAGTATTGATTTGTCTCATAAGACCGTCAGTTTTCCATCCCAATAACTCTCGTTTTTCTTAACTTTCAAAGAACTTCAGAACAAATTCCGATAGAGCAAAGCAAGCTCTACAAAGTGGCGTCCAAACTAACACAATGGTTTCACATTCAGTTAAAAATCAATAAAAACTTCCAGAAACTCGAAAACACGAAATTTAAAATTTTTCAATAAACCTTTAGGAAGCTCTAACTTGTTCACGCATATCCACTTTTCTGATAGTTTTATAAACATTTGCTGTATGTTTTCTAGTTCTAGAAACCGGGGAACCAAATTAGGTCGAAATTACCAAGAAATACCAAAACGTGCTTCTTTCGACTTTTTAACGCCTCGAATACCATCGCTCCTAGAAGGCCAAAATTCATGGTTATACTTTCAGAGCTTGTGTTATAAAATTACCTATATTGGAGCAGCTCAGACTCACTTTGAAAAAACATGGCAAATTTTGTTTTCTTGATTTCTAGCAATGAAAAAAGTACAACAAGCACGTGCATGAATGTTAGATGAGAAGTGTATTTGCATGAACAAGTCAGAGCTTCCCGAAAAGCTTTTGAGACACTTCTGAATTCTTTTAGAGTTTTCGGGCTTCTGAATAATTTGTATTTCGATTTTTACCCAACGTGAAATTAATTATGTGCAAATGTTTGGGGGCCACTTGTAGAGCTTGCTTTGCTCTATCAAAGGATTCCTAAACTTATTTTATAATCAAGAGGTAGAGAGTTATTGGAGTAAAAATGAAAATGGACCTTTCTGGACAAACTGATAATATCAGCAAATGAAAACAGAATAACTTGAACAATTCTTCTATGCCGTACAGGTTTTTATTGGTGGCACACTTTATTACTGCCTTACGTTTCCTTTTTGATGCCCAGGTTACAAGAAAAGAAAACGGAATAATTGCACAATTACGACTTAAGTGGACAACTTTTTCAAAAAATTCTCTTACTCCTTCGTTCGTCACCAGGCTATGGATATACAGATATACAGTTACATTTCGGTGAAGTTGTGCTCTTCAGCTGATATTTCAAGAATAATGCCTTTTTCCTTAAATGTCTTCTGCCACTTTTAAATATCATTCTGTAGCGCTGTCTTAACTTAGATTAGCATAGTGTGACTCAACAATCTCTAATACTGTAGAATTCTGTAAGGGGCATGCAACTTAGCGCGCTTGTAAATTGGACTATTTCAAAGAAGTCCAGGGAATCCGAAAAGTTTCTTAAAAGGGGTTTTCATGCACGCTGATTTTGCTAGTTAAATTTTTACGAGTTTTCCAGACTCCGCAGATGTTGTGGTCGCATTTTACGGGATTTTGAAAAAAAAGCCAGCATAACTCATGAACGAAGCATTGTGATAAAGCATAAGTTCTGTAATCAAGGTCAGCGATCCTGATTGGCCTAACTAAGATTTTCTAGCTTGTTTGACTTTCTTTTTGGGGGAAATATGACCCTCGATGGACCTTCTCGAATTCCACCGTAATTCTACAGTAATGAAGAACGATCATGATTTGCACCATGCTGTAAATCAATTGAAACCCTTACAGTATGGTACCTGAATAAGGAGTTTTTGTGGGAAGAGAGATATTTAACTAATTAATGATTAAACACTATTAAGTAGTTTTAAGACATATATCCTTGAATTAAACTGCTCATAATTTCGTTCACACAGGCTCTTAGCAGATACAAAAGATAGAGTTGGAGTCAGCGTTCTATGCTACAACTAATGTTATGCAGTTTGTTTATTATGGCCACTTCGATTTCCGAGCAATTTCTCTTAGTATGCAGAATTATATCAATGCTGATGATAAATCGCTTGCCGGTTCCAGTAAGAAACGATTTATTAGAATTTCGCAGCTCCGTATCTGACATAGCTAGCCACTCTCAGCTCTTGAAAACGCTTTCAATGCTCGACACTAATCCCTGGGCTTTATTCTCCATCAAAACTTCTCTCTTCGGACCTCACAACAGCAGGCAAAAACTCATTTAAAGCCTCGCAAAAGCAGATAACTTGCTTCTTTCGTTGCTATGAACGTCTCGATTCGGATGTTTTCGTTCAAACTGTCGCCGTTATTGCAGTGAAGCTAATGGGATTTCCTATCAAACGCGGGCGGGCGGGGGGGGGGGGGGGAGAGCTCGATTCAAGTCATTCGCGTGCCCATCAACAGGTGCAGCACGGACTCAGGGTTTTCCCGTCCCCCGGGGACAGCAACCCGGCAAGTGAAGAGGCATTTCGGATTGACTGGCTTCTAATTGCCGATTCAATATCTGTCTGCGTCAGAAGAAGCGCGTAGGCGGCTGCCGCCGATGGCGCGCAGGTGCTTTCGCTCGCGTTCGTCCGCGACGACGGTTCGCATCAGCGACTCTTGGCTTAGATTTTCCTTGATTCGCCTCACAAAGCACATCAGCCAGTCATGCGTGGCCACATAAGTTAGGTTGGCTTGAAAGTTCTTTGTTCGCAACATCTTCAAAAATTCATAACTTTTTAATTTTAGTTTGCATAATTTTAGCTTTGGGCAAATGGCAGCTGAGTCAGCCTCTATCAATCAGAAAATGCACTTCGAGGCGATGACATGAAAACTTCTCATGATTCTGTTTCGGAAGTGCTTCAGAATGAATTTGTTCAAGTTTTTTTGACGGGAAAAAGTTGGCAAGAAAACAAATTAAATCGAAAGTTCGTTTGCACCAATTTCAAAAAATTATAACTTTTTTATTTATACAACATTCGCGAAATTCCTTATTTGTCTAAAAGAGAAAATTATGCACTTTACGACGGCGTTTGAAGTCAAACACGCAAACGCTGCAGAGATAGAATCTGCAGAAGAAAATTTTTTAACTTTTGATATTTCTGTATAGGGCTGCCGAAAATCTGAAACCAGTGCCATTATAGGTTTTTTATTATTGCTTTGTTTAATCGTAGATCTCACCTAGTTAATCCCAATATTCAGATTTTCCTGCCATTTCCATCCGACCATAATTGCGTTGATTAGGTTTTAAGTTAAGATTATCGAGCAATTTGGATGCAAAACGGAAATTGTTTTAGCTTTCTTTTTGAAAATTACAGGATGCGGCAAAAGTCTGGGAGCCTAACTTTGCAGTACTGCAATTACAAAAAAAAAACTGGTGGTTTTGATTTCAATTTTATGCCACATGATGCTGCGGTCATCCTCTACAGAATACACTTTATTTGACTGGAAATGGCTGTCATATGTTTTTGTAAGAATGGAAATTACCAAACTAGTACTTTTGCAAAGCGAAAAAACCAGAATTTTTGGTATTTACTATTTTTGTTGTAACTAGAGATGCTGTTATTATTTTATAAAACTTCGCTGCACACAACATAGAAGAGGCTTTGCGCTATTGTATTTTGGTTTTGCTTTTGCCAGGAGCTGTTCTAGCATAAACGGAAAATAAAAGTTTGCGAATGTTACCTACGTGCCAGTGGAAATTCGTCTTCAGAACAAATTTAAAAGCTATAGAATGCTCAACAGGCACTGGAACCAAGGCTGTATTTATTGCATACGTCTTCTAAATTAGAGTCTATTGAAATTCTGCCATGGGAACACTTTTTATACTTTTTGAACGATATTTTTAAATTTTTATTCGCGCAACTGTAGCCAAAATTCGGGTATGCGACGTACACATGTTTCTAATTGAAAATCCAATATTTATATTCCTAAGCAATGCAAAAAATCTTTTTGGAAGCATGTTGTAGATAAAAGCTTGCTCTATCGTGCTGCACATTTGCCAAAGTAAAAGAAGCAGTTATTGTGAAGGGTGGGGCGAATTCCATTACGACTACCTGCGTGCCATGACAGGTGGACTTGCCAAGATTTTGTAGGGCTGCTTGGAAGCCAAAAGAGGCAGTTTTGCAATTCAAGAACAGGGCAGTATCTGCAATGGTTCGAATTATGTGTGCGCCAAGTTTTCCGTTTCTAGGTACTTCCCTTCTCGTTTTGCACGAAAAAGTACTAGGCTCCCAGACTTTTGCCGCACACTGTACAACTTTTGATAGAAACATCCAATCAGACTTTTCTCAGATAGAGCAGATCGAAATACTCATAGTAACCGCTTCGGTTATTAGTGCAGCTTTCGAATTTTTTGGCACTAGATTTTTAGCAATTCTATTCAAAAATCCAAATTTAAAACTTCTATCTCTGCAGTGTTTGCGTGTTAGAATGTCATCAAAATGCTATTATGAAGGCGCAAATTTTTTTCCTCGTTGATTATCTAGAATTGTGGGAATCTAGTAAAAAGTAAGAACATGACTTTTTGAAAATGATGAGAACGAACCTTTGGGCAAGCCTAATATGTCTTTTTGCCAATTTTTTGTCGTCAAAAAAAGCTCGAATTATTTCGTCATAAAGCACTTCTGAAACGATCAGAATCATGGCCATTTTTCACCATAAAAATCGTCTCAGAGTGCATTTTCTGAATAAGGGAGGCGTACGCAGCTGCGATTGCCTCTTCTCTCCAGAAAATTGTTGTGATAGTGCCATCGAGGCCTTGCCTTCATCTCTATTTACCATAGGCTGTCCATCTCTTCTGAGCTCCTCGATTTCTCAGGCCACTTTCCAGTCATCGCCCAACATCCCCCTGAGAGCTTCGAGACTCATATTGAATTCACTTCTTCCCTACATCCATTTCCGGCAGCCTGTTTCTGCCCGGCGTTTTTTTGTTTTTCTTTTGTGAGCGGCAAGTTTTTACCAAAACTCTTTTCGAATTCCACCGAGATTTTCAGAGTGCACTCTTCATCCACTGTGGCCACTTAGCCTCATGTTCGAAATGGGATCTCCTTAGCTATTCTATCCGTCGGCACGACATCAAGAAACCTTACCCTAAAATGTCCTCGACAACAACCAGGCTATTAGGTAAGTACACCTTTCTTATTATAAAAGCATAGCAAATGCTTCGATTGAGCACTGACTTCAGCATTCTCTCATTTTATATTAGTATGCAGATCTCGCAAAATACCCTCTCAAAATGGGACATAACAAAAGACGTAAAAATTACCATGGGATTGCATTCTTATGACATAGAATGACTGCATTTCCCAATTTAGTGAGCTGCACAGACTCTTAGAATAATGATAACATTGGATTGAGCCTGCATAACCCAATGAAAAATATTACAAGATTGCTTCATGTTTTCCCATACACATTATCAAAATCTTTGCAATCTGACCTCGCTTTCTTTGACAAATTCCTCCTCATCTGCATAATCAGCCCTACTCACAGTTTTAAAATACAAAAAGTGATAACTGGCGGTAGAAGTCTCCTAAGTTATAAACATCTCATTTTATTTATTTTCTGAGCTTGAACCAATATTCATGCTCTCGAACTGCCGTTATGTAGGAAGGAATTGCATGATCTAAGTCTGAGTTTTCTTGTAAGTCAAGTCGAAAGACTGACATTTCGATTTTTGATATATTTTCACTTACAAGGATTCTTCTGTCAGCCTCCGAAATTTTCTTCTCTAAGTAGAGAGTATGATGAAAAAGTGAATTTCGCAGAGAGTTCTGCCCTTCACAGCTTGAAAGTGAAAACATGGTAAACATGCACTAACTCTGCACCTGTCCTATTGGTGGGTTTGGGAATCATTACATGCATCCAAAAAGGCATAGGAAGATAAAAAATTTGATTATCGTTCATAAAGGAAGCAAGGTGTTTCGTTGTTTCTTTAGTAAAGTGATTCTATAATATGGGTTCGTCCACCAGAAGAAAGATTAGGTTGGAACAAATCTTGCAGCAAAGCTTTTGTTGGAAGTTCATGATTTGCTCCAGTTTCAATGAATTCGTTCGCTTAATAAACTACGAAGAAAGAAATGTATTTTCAAACGAGTTTTTGAGCCTGTGGTGCAAGATGTTCTTTATTAAGATAACGTGTCATTGTTTTTTGTAGAATTGGGCATTATAAAGGGTTCTCAAAAGTAAGTACACACTTTCAATCGTTAATAACTCTCTTCCCATAAAGTATCTTGCTTAGCTTCAAGCGCCATTCCGTGGAGCAGGCTTCAACTTAGATCCATTGCATATATTTTTTATTTGCAGTACAGATTGAATCACTCAACTCTCTTCGTTACTGTAGGATTACGGTAGAAACTATAAAGAGAGTTTTGGCCATTGATGGCCACATTTTGCCCAAAATGGATACTCAACGAGCTGAAAACTTGTCTTAAGGCTAAATTGAGTCGCTGAGTATGGATACGAAATTTGCACTTACCGTACAACTTTTTTATAGGTTACTAGCTGGCTTACCCGGCTCCGCCGTATCCGGACCAAACTTGGCACACATACACTTCGGGCCCCGGCGGGTATCACAGTCCACTTTTCGTTATCGATCGATGTCGATTTTACCGATTTTTATCGATTTTTTTGCAGAGTTCACCTACAGGGCTATGAGTTGGCACAGGGGGGGAAGTGAGCATGGGGATTCCGAATACAATATTAGTTTTCACAATTATCGATTACTTTTATTGATTTTATCGATTTTTTGTAAATTTTGACATGCGAGGCTGGGATTTTGCAAAGGGGGGTAATCGAGCATGCTGATTACGAACACAATATTAGTTTTCAGGATCGTCCATTACTTTTATCGATTTTATCGATTTTTTTTGTAAAGTCTGACCTGCGGGGCTGGGAGTTTGCACAGGGGGTAATCGAGCATGCAGATTACGAATACAATATTAGTTTTCAAGATCGTCCATTACTTTTATCGATTTTATCGATTTTTTGAAAATTTGAGCTAGGGGGCTGGAATTTGGCACAGGGGTGTAATCGAGCATGCTGATCACCCCCCTTGGGGATGATCAGCATGCTCGATTACCCCCCCTGTGCCAACTCCCAGCCCCCTAGCTCAAACTTTGCAAAAAAATCGATAAAATCAATAAAAGTAATCGATAATCCCGAAAACCAATATTGTATTCGGAATCCCCATGCTCGATTACCCCCCTGTGCGAACTCCCAGCCCCGTAGCTCAAACTTTGCAAAAAAATCGATAAAATCGATAAAAGTAATCGATAATCCTGAAAACCAATATTGTATTCGGAATCTCCATGCTCGATTACCCCCCTGTGCCAACTTCCAGCCCCGTAGCTCAAACTTTGCAAAAAAATCGATAAAATCGATAAAAGTAATCGATAATCCTGAAAACCAATATTGTATTCGGAATCCCCATGCTCGATTACCCCCCTGTGCCAACTCCCAGCCCCGTAGGTGAACTCAGCAAAAAAATCGATAAAAATCGATAAAATCGATATCGATCGATGACGAAAAGTAGCCTATGACACCCGCCGGGGCCCGAAGTGTATGTGTGCCAAGTTTGGTCCGGATCGGTTCAGAAATGGAATTTTCTATTCGGAACATACGTACAGACATACAGACAGACATACAGACAGACATACAGACAGACAGACAGACAAACAGACATTCAGCTTTATATATAAGATGCTAGGTAAACAGGTAATGTTGTTCCAATGTTTTTGAAATGAGATAAAAACCATTCAAAACGCTTAAAGAACTTGTAGAAAGTTGTTTATAGGACTCAGGATGTTTGGAAACACCACTGTACAACTTTTTTAAAATTTTTGAAACATTTTCTTAAACCGGCCTAATTCATAATGACGTTATATGGTGACAATTTCTAAATCCTACAGTGATGAAAAGTGATGAGCGAATCGCTCTATATTGTTAAACTAAGTTGAAGCCTATTATACGGAATGGTACTTGAAGCCAAGCGGAAGACCTTCTGAGAAGAGAGTTATCGACGATCAAAAAGTGTGTACTTACTTTTAGGACACCCTATACGTCTTATTAAGGTTCTAAGTCTGGATTCATTTGATCAAATTGCAAACCTCTGATGATGGCACTACGACTAGTAATAATTCGTCATCTCGCAAATTCTGCCCTGAAACACAATTTTTTGATTCCTTTGATATAAGAGTTTTTTTTGCTTTATTTCAGAGTATTCTAAAAAGGAGGGAGAGTTAGCTTTCTGTAGCTCTGAAGCACCAATGTTGACAAATTGCAGAGGCCTAAGCTGCTAAAGATAAACAGTCGAGCAAAGCCGCGCAAAAAGTTCTGGAAGATAGCAATATACTCCAGCACCTCTTATATAGAAAGGATGTTAGGAATGGTTACAGAAATTAGTACGGTAAATAATAGAAAAGTCATGATTATTCTCACTGAAAAAGACGAACAAATACACATCATCTTCTCTTCGCACATCATCTTCTCCTTCCAACTCTGAGAACCCTCCCTCCCTTCTGCAGCCCCATGATAATCAAGAATAGTGATCTTTCTGTAGGAAAAATTTTTGTCCCAAGCAAATTTATCAGTTAAACCTTTAGGGAAATAGGGAGGATATGAGGGAAACGTGTTCTTACTTCAAAGCAATTACTGCAAACAAGAGTTTAAAAAAGTTGGGTTCCACTTTGTTCGCTATCTTGACCGAGCGCCACGTTTGTAGATTGGTGATTTGTATATGATCTTGGATACATTCAATGCAGCATTTGATTTTTTCTAGCAGTAGACCTTTTTTTATTGTAATATCTCCAACAAGCTTTTGGAAAGTCAAAGCTGTAATATTTATCTCATTAACGTGGTTTTTGAAGTATTATGTGCTACTTCAGACTAATTTGGCGCTAAAAAGCAAAAAATGGAAGAGTTTTTTAACAAAATATATTTGGAGAAAACGTGAACATTCAAGCAAAATAAGATGGAGGGAGAAAAAGCCGCCATTTCTTATTAGCTAGTCTAATCTATTCCAGAAGTCGAAAGAGAATTTTAAATTTGGGTACAGCAGCGACAGCACGTAGTATCCAGAATTTTTCTGAAAAACGATACAAAAATACTGACTTGTAAACATGACTGCCAAAAAGGTCTGGAAAATTGCATTGATCTCGTTCAAGATATCAGGAACAACTGTTTTGTGAATCCTCAGTCAATAAAGCGAATGAACATTTGAAAGTACTTACTAACAATATAATTACACGTATAATGAAAAATCATCCATCGAAATTAGCTAAAGTAGCTTCAAAAGCGCAACAGCAGTGAAGGAAGTGCTCAGTGATAGGTTGTCCCATAAGTCTTTTCATTTTTGAATTTTTAGTGATAAAAGTCAGTTTCTCTTATATTCTTGACGGGGCGCGGGCACCATTCGACAGATCTCAAACTCTACAAGAAAGCGTTTAAAAGTTCACGTCTGGTCCACATTAGTTTTCAAGTCAAAATCTTTTAATTACAATTTCCCGAACAACGAAAACATATCTCCAAGCAGTGGCGGTTCGAGGGGAGGGGGCAGAATGGTTCCCGAAATTTTTAAAAGTTACTTATATGGGTTGTAAAAAAGTGCAAGTGACTTGTTTAAACTTGTAAATGATAAAATATTTTTCAAATTCTTTGAAAATCTAAATTATCGGGGCGTGGCACTCCCCCCCCCCCTTTTTTTTTTTCTAATATTTTGGTTTGGGGGCAGGAGCCCACAAAAATTTTGGGAAGCATCCCAAAAAAATTTTCGGAGTGCATGGCTAACGCCCGCACCTTCACTCAGAAAAAATTTTTGTCGTTCCCTCCTTCCCCCCTCCCCCTCCCCGGTCCAAAATCCTGGGACCGCCACTGCCACAAGAGATGTTCGTTGGGTAAAAGTGGCGATTCGGAAGGTGATATATACCATTTGATGGAACTAAAAGGCTGTTCTTGAATATACCTTCATATCTACGACCGTTTTTCTAGATGAAGCTATGGGCTTTTTGTATATATTAGGTTGTCGCACGAGTCTTTTCATATTTTGACCTTCAATTTGATATTTCTCAGGAACTAGGATACCTAGTAGGCTGCAAATTTGTATCAATATTTTTGATTGCATAAGCTTA